ACAGTGACTGGCTCTTTAAGCAGGCTATAATCCATTTATCCAGGTGCCAAAAGAGGGGTGGGAGCTCAAGAGCTTAACCAGCCTAGAAGAAGTAGAAAGAGATTAGCTTGCTGGAGAAGGAAGGGGAGAAGGGAGAGGCTTTAAGACCTCCAGGTTCTCTTAAGTCCAGGGTAATGAAGTGCCCTCCATATGTATTTGGACTACAACTCCCATCAGCCCCAGCTTGTTCCAGTGATGAAAATCATAGTTCAACAGCAACTGGAGAACATCAGGTTTTCCACACCTGTCTGAAAGTGTATATTTTCAGTGCCTGAGTTGGACAGTGCTGGGGGCAGCTTTGTGTGTATTGTCTACCTCCACTGTTGGAAACTGTATGTCTCTGAAAGCCAGTTGCTGGGGAAAGCAAGTGGGGAGGTTGCCATTGCACTCCAGTCCTGCTTGTGGGCTTTCCATAGCCATCTTTTGGCCACTGTGAGACCAGGATACTGGACAAGATGGGCCCTTGGCCTGATCCAATGGGGCTCTTTTTATGTTATTAGAATGTGAGCTTAAGAGGAGGATACCACTGCCTGGCCTCAGCTTCTCAGAGGTGGCTCCTTGGCTCATGGCTCTGTGCTTCTCCTTCAGTTGTGTGCCTCCTTTAATGAACTGCTGCTGAGGGGCGCCAGAAACAACTTTGGTCCATGGTCCATGAGTCTAGTAGACTAGAGTAGATTTTGAGTTTAGTAGACCCAATTTGAGTCACTTGACTCAAATTGATTGTTGTTGTTGTTGTTGTTGTTGTTGTTGTTGTTGTAGTAGTAGTAGTATATAATTCAGCAATCTCAAAAGTCTGAGAGTCAGTAGCATAGATATTGAAAGGTGTGGTGATCTTTAATGGAAGGAGAAAACAGTGGTTACCCAGACCTCTTTGCTGGTTGTGAAGGGGCCTCCATGACAGTTTTAGCTTCAGGGCCCCCAAAATGTAGGTCAGCTATTAGCTGAGTGCAACAAACAGTTCCAGGTCTAACTAGGATTGCTGGTTGTTGAGCGTTTTCTAGTTTTGCCAAAAGTTGTTGAGCTATTTTTATGGAAATTGGCAAAAACAGCACTTCCAACATGGATTGCTATTTTCCTGGACATTTTACGATTTCCGCCTGGACACTGATAGAGACAGTATGGCAGTGATGATCAAACTTGGCCTTCCAGCTGTTTTGGGACTACAATTCCCATCATCTCTGACTGGTCCTGTTAGCTAGGGATGGTGGAAGTTGTAGTCCCAAAACAGCTGGAGGGCCAAGTTTGGCCATCACTGCAATATGGCAACCCTAGGTGTAACAACGACAAAGCTAATGACAACTGATGAACTCTAGGAAATGTGGTGGTGGGGAAGCTGGACCAGAATGGTGCCAGGGGAGACCTTGTATAAACTGAATGGAAGAGCTCTGACAAGGGACGTGATCTGATTCATCGTCATCACCAGCATTTTGGTTCTAATAGCCCTTGCCTCCTCCTAGCGATTCACAGTGCACTAAAGCCATACAGATAAAAATATCTATACCAGAGAAAGTGAGGAGAGTGGGGGAATCAAAACACCAATATCCTGATTAAAAATAGTTGAAAGCCGGATGAAATACATGCGTGTATTGCCTTCCTAAAGACAATGGATAGAACTAGCTTAGCACCCTTTGGGGAGACACTTTTGCAGTCAAGTTGCTGCCACAGAGAAGGCTCTGTCTCAGATTCCCACCCATGGAAACACTAGGAATATAAGAAGTTGCCTTGAGTTTGGCTTCAGATGCTGTGGTTAAAACCTTAAAATATATTCACCCTTCAATCTGTTGTACAGCCTTGGGGACCATTCAAGAAGGGGCTATATCAGTGGCAGAGTTTGATCAGTGGGAAGACCTCTTGCTGAGACCCTAGAGAACAACTGCCAGTCAAAACAGAATAAGCGGACACATGGTCTGTTGTAGTAGAAACCAGCTTCCTAGGTTACTCGTTGATGCTTCCCCCTTTATCATGGGGTGAGGAACCTGTGACAATCCACTTGTTGGACTACAACTCCCAGCATTCCCTGATCATCGGCTATGTTGGCTGGGGCAGATGGGAGTTGGAGTCCAGTTCCCCATCCCTGCTTTACTACACAGAGTTGTGTATTGGTGTCATCTCTATAGAAAATGGCACTTTTCCTCTGTTGATGTCCTTGTTCTTTCTCAGCTCCCTAAGTGGTATGGGGAAGGGATGTGAAAGGGTGGGGTTTTGGATGCTGGTTTGTAAATGCTGCCTGTGGAAAACTGATTCGGCCCCCCTCTTTTTTTTTTGGTCTTTTCCCGCTGGAGTGGAGGGGACTTCTCAGAGGTTGTCTTGGGTTGCCATGGCAGCAGCCTCATTCGGTGTGAATATGGCAAAGATGCAGAAGGCAAATTTAGATCCCCTTTTTTAAAAAAAAATCCTCACAGTATTAAAATTCATCACTTTGCTTTCATAAGGATGGCCTGCCAAACACTCTCCCCATCTTGCTATAGTTTGTTATGTGTACACACCCAGCAACCATGTTTCCACAACCCACCTTCCATTAAAAACACAAAAATAAAAAAGTATGGTTATTAAGGCCTGCCTTGGGTCCCATCTGCACTATACATTTAAATAGTCCAAATGTTGGGTGTAAAATATTGTGGAGCAGGTATTTTAAGGATGTCAGTATGTGGAGGGGATGAAGGGGTGTGTGACAGTGAGTGACAGAAATTTTCCAAAAGGAGATAATATGATAAAGGGACACGGGTGGCACTGTGGGTTAAACCACAGAACCTAGGGCTTGCCAATCAGAAGGTCGGTGGTTCAAATCCCCGCGACGGGGTGAGCTCCCGTTGCAGGTCCCTGCTCCTGCCAACCTAGCAGTTCGAAAGCACGTCAAAGTGCAAGTAGATAAATAGGTACCGCTACAACGGGAAGGTAAACGGCATTTCCGTGCGCTGCTCTGGTTCGCCAGAAGCGGCTTAGTCATGCTGGCCACATGACCTGGAAGCTGTACGCCGGCTCCCTCGGCCAATAAAGCTAGATGAGCATGCAACCCCAGAGTCAGTCATGACTGGACCTAATGGTCAGGGGTCCCTTTGCCTTTACCTTTATGATATGATAAGCTGCCAAGAGGGAGAATACAATACCACCATACTTTAAAGCAGTTGCATACCATTTTAAACCTCCATGGTTTTCCCCAAAGAATCCTGGGAACTGTAGTTTGTAAAGGGTTCTGAGAGATGTTCCCCTCGCAAAGGAAGAATTCAAAGAGTTCTCTGGGAAGAGGGATTGGGTTGTTAAACCACTCTTGAGAATTATAGCTCTGTGAGGCAAATAGGGCTCTCCTAACAACTCTCACTACCCTTCACAAACTACAGCTCCCAGAATCCTTTGGGAAGAGGAGATGCCAGGACTGTTGCAACACTGCTTTAAGTGTAAACTGCAGATCTGTGAAAAATGGGCTGGGGTTTCATTTATAAGTTTTCTTACCTGCCCTTCTCCATGAAGTCCCAGAGAGGGTTACAACGATGTAGCTATAAAAACAAAACTCTTTCCATTCTACAAATTTAATAAATTAAAACAAGTAGAAACGTTCCAGAACAGTGTAAATTGAGCAAAAGAGGTGGGTCCCACAAAACAAAGTACCTTAACTGTCAAAAGCCAGCAGAAGTTATGTAACAAAAGATCCTAGTGGGAATGAGTTCCACAGTTTAGGGGCCACTACAGAGGAAGCTCTCTCCTGGGTTGCCCTTCCCGGCACTTCTGAGCGTGGTGGAAAGACCAAGACAACTCCTTCTGCAGATCTTAACACTCCTGTTTAGAGTTGTGTCACATTATCTTGTTCCAATGGCTCCGTAAGGCAAAGTCATTGGGTTGTCTAGTCAGGGTAGACCTATGGAAAGCAATGGACCTAAGGTGGGCATGTTTATTAACTTCAGTGGGTCTACTCTGGATAGGACTAGCATTAGAAACAACCCAGAATTATTATCTCCATATTGAAGAGGGAGAATCTGAAAGAGAGAGAGAGAGAAATTTGCCAAAGTTCAACTGTAAGTCCTAGCCCAACACTGAACTAGGTGCAGTTAAGCCTCTCAGTGAGGGACGCGGGTGGCGCTGTGGGTAAAAGCCTCAGCGCCTAGGGCTTGCCGATCGAAAGGTCGGCGGTTCGAATCCCCGCGGCGGGGTCCGCTCCCGTTGCTCGGTCCCAGCACCTTCCAACCTAGCAGTTCGAAAGCACTCCCGGGTGCAAGTAGATAAATAGGGACCGCTTTATAGCGGGAAGGTAAACGGCGTTCCGTGTGTTGCGCTGGCTTGCCAGATGCAGCTTTGTCACGCTGGCCACGTGACCTGGAAGTGTCTCCAGACAGCGCTGGCCCCCGGCCTCTTAAGTGAGATGGGTGCACAACCCTAGAGTCTGTCAAGACTGGCCCGTACGGGCAGGGGTACCTTTACCTTTACCTAAGCCTCTCAGTGAATTAAATTTTGCAGAATAGTAAAAGTGGTGGAGCGAATAGTGGAAAATAAGAGCTATAATGCAAATTGCATAATTTCTACAGCTTGCAGAATTAATGTCACAGAATTTGGATTGCCTGGGCATTTAACTTTTTTAAAACAACAACAACGACATTGCATGGAATACTTACCACACTGATAAAACACCTGTTTAGGCATTGCGCCTACTTTGACATTAATATTAGAGTACCAATAGATCCTTGGAAATATTGGCAATAGATTTTTCCTTGTTTAATTAGAATCATTTATTCATGCTGAGCGAGCACATTTTACAATATATTGATTTTTCATTTTATCTTTCTAATTTTGGTTGTCGTGGGGAAAGACTACCTTAATTTCTCTTTTTCTAGTGTGAATCCCCGCCCCCAACTTGTAATATCTCTACTCCTACAGGGTAATTATGAGCTGAGCTCAGTCGCAGAAGTTGCAATGCGGAGATAATTATTCACAGTAAATTCTTCCTCTCTCTTTTTTTCTCCCCCTCTCAGAAACCTCTCTGGTAACCGGCTGACTACGCTGTCGTGGCTACTCTTCAAGACATTGAGACTTACCGAGCTGTAAGTTTTTACTTGGGATGTGTTTTCTGCAAAGGCAAATGGGAGGGGGAAGGCCAAAGGAAGTGTGAGTTAAAGGTCCTTTTCAGGATGCAAATGGGAGAGGAAGAGGCGGTTAGGAGACCTTTTAAGGATTCAAACAGGATGGAAAGATTGAAGGAAGGTGTAGTTAAGGGCCACTTTGAAGCAGAAATGCATAGCAACGATAAAGACATGGCTGATGCAGGAAAATGACAATCCTCTGTTAACCCTCCTCCTCTTCTGGAGGTAAAAAATATTGGGACACAGGTGGCGCTATGGTCTAAACCACCAAGCCTCTTGGGCTTGCCGATTGGAAGGTCGGCGGTTCAAATCCCCACAACAGGGTGGAGTTCCCATAGCTCTGTCCCAGCTTTTGCCAACCTAGCAGTTTGAAAGCACACCAGTACAAGTAGATAAATAGGTACTGCTGTGGTGGGAAGGTAAAGGCGGGAAGGTGTTTCCGTGCACTCTGGCACTTGTCATGGTGTCCCATTGCACCAGAAGCAGTTTAGCCATGCTGGCCACATGACCCAGAAAGCTATTTGTGGACAAACCCTGGCTCCCTCGGCCTGAAAAGTGAGATGAGCTCCACACCCCATAGACAAATTCAACTGGACTTAACCATCCAGGGGTCTTTTATTTTTACCTTTTACCTTACCTCTTCTGGGATGTGTTGTGAAACCTGCCTGGTCTCACAAAAGGGGGCAGGGGAATCACAGGGCTGGACCACCCAGGAGGCAAGGTAAGGTGACCATTTCAGGTGGCAGGATCCACAGGGGCAGCAGATCCCAACATCGATCTTCATTCTCCGCCTTGTTCCTCATGTAGATCTTCACTCGCCCCTTTTTCCCTGGCTGGAAGAGAGAGGGAATGCCATTTTCTGGTGCCAAAATGTCTTGGGCCGGTCCTGGGCAAGGGAGGAAGAGAAATTTGCATTGTTGCACAGGGGCTGGAGCAAATCCCCCATGAGAAAAGGTTACAATGTTTGGAGCTGTGGAGCTTGGGTCAGGGAGACCTATAAGTTAAGGGAGGATATGGCGAAGGTATACAAAAGTATACATCGTATGGAGACTGTGGACAGGGAGAAACGTTTTTCTCCTTCTCTCATAATACTAGAATCAGGCACTATCCAATGAAGATGAATGGCTGGTGGTTCTGAACAAGCAAAAGAAAATACATTTTCACACAGCACATAGCGAAACTATGGAATTTGCTCTCACGAGATGTTGTCATGACCGGCATGTTGGACAATTTTAAAAGGAGGTTACACAAATTCATGGAAGATACTGCTATCCATGCCTACTAGCCACCACCTCTGTCAAAAACAAGATGCCTCTGAATGGCAGTTGCTGGGAATCGCAACTGGGGAGAATGCTGTGAAGCTCAGGACCTAATTTCAGGCTTCCCGTAGGCATCTCATTGGCCACTATGAGAACAGGATGCTGGACTAGATGGGGCATTGGCTTGATCCAGAAGACTCTCCTTATGTTCTTTGGCACATCTTAGCTGTAGTTTTTAGGCAGACCAGAAGAAGCAATGGCTTTTTGACCTCCCTTCTCTGCAACAACTGAAGCACTTTTCCGACTACTGCATGTGAGATAGGCTAGCATCTCCCTTGGGGCCTAGCAGGACTGCAGCTTCCTGAATTATAAATAAAGCATTCAGCGCCATATGAGAAGAATAAGTGGACATGAAATCAATGGAGTGGTGCCCTGGTGACCTGTTTTGTTGAGTTTTAGAAATAGTTCTGTGTCAGAAATAAAAGCATATACGTTATGTAGGATTCATCCCAGAGGATCATGGGAATATCTCATTCATCCTCACCTGTGATCAATAGAGCTGTAAGTGAGAAGTGACTTATGGAAGAATAAAGACCAGTCCCTCAAGTGGGACTCAGTGTGTTATCACCAGTGTAAACGCAGCATAGTTGCTCCCCCCTACCGTCAAGTCATTACATGAAGAAAAAGACTGATAGTAATATTGCAGAAATAAAGCAAAGCCCATGCTTGAGGGAGACGTCTGGCTAAAATGCTGAATTTGGAATTGATTCTCTGTGCTAATGGCAACTCAAACGTTGTCATGGCCTGGCTTCAGATAATAGCTCGATTCAATTCAGTTCATGTTCAAAGGTGAATTTACATAATTTGTAGTTTCCTAAACAATGCATGAACTGAAACTCAGCTGTCCTTTGAAATTTGCACTTCTCTGAATTTTGCATTGCAGTTTTCCACCCAAGTAATCTGTGCTAAAATGCATGTATTAAATTGTTGTAGAAATATAGCGTATAAAAATGAATTATATTAGAGAAATGTGTTTCGGAAAAATGTGTATACTAGGAGAAATTGCATATAATATATATTAGGAAAAAATTCACATTAAGCTGATGACAAATTTTCATGAGCAGCTTTTTAAAAATTGCAATCTGATGTTGGAGAACTGAATTTAAGATTGGGGAAAGGCAAAAACTCAGAGAAACCATGAACGGTGTATTAGCCCATCCCTGGTGAGAGCCCCTATCTCCTGGTAGAGCACACTTCTTTATAGTCATAGCATCTGAGATTTAATTCTCCATTGAAATGATCCGAGATAGCTGAACTGCAATAAAGAGAGACCATGGAGTGCTGTTGATCCTTAATGTGGACAAGACTGGACTAGATTGACCAAACATCTGACTCTGTATCAGGACCAAGCTACATTTGATGCTTATCACGTAGTTTGCCCTTGTGTGCAAGCCTTTTCTCCCCAAATTATCAGTATAGGTCCCCCTTTTAAGGTTCAGGAGCCTGGTGTGGGTCTTGGGGGAGCTTTAACCCTTTAACAGTACAAGAAGATCCTTGCAGGATCAGACCAAAGCTCTATTTAGTCCCGTATTTTGTTCTCACAGATTCCTACGGGGAGCCCGCAAGCAGGACATGAGCGCAACAGCAGTCTTTCCACTTATGTTCTCCATCAAGTGTTATTCAGAGGCATGATCAGAGGCAAATTCAGAGGCATGCCTTTCTCTTTTCCCTTCCACCCGGCATACCTATGGGGAATCTTGTAGGAACAAGACATTAGGCTGGCAACACTTTCAACCTGAACGTACAAATTAAAAAATGCCGTCTGAATGCACTTGCCCTTTCCAGGAATAAGTATTGCTAAATAAGTCTCTAGAGGAGGAAACTTCCAGCTCATCTGGCTATAGCTCTGCAATGGCTCTTAAACAGATGGCTGGAACGGAGGGAAATTAACTTTACAAGGGTGCTAAGAATAGAAGAAAATTACCTCCTCCAACTTGGAAATCCTTTCTAAGATGTAACTTTGTTGTCGATAACTCTACATAGCTTGGGTCGGTCTGACATCAATGCTGTGAGCCTAGGGATGAGCAAATCAGTCTATTACTGGTCCTTGAAACTTTGTTTAAATTAAGTTTGCTTCAAAAAACAAACAAACCCCACATGAAAAATCACATTTAAGCATGTATTTATATATTTCTAAATTCATCCACATTTCAAAATGTATCTATCCTCAAAATACACTTTAAAAAATACATTTTTAAAAAAGTATTTGGATATATTGGGTTGATTCATTGTGGTGCTAAGTTTAACCTTTATAAGAGATCTGAAGGCAGCCCTGTACAGTGGTACCCCGCAAGACGAACGCCTCGCAAGATGGAAAACCCGCTAGACGAAAGGGTTTTCCGTTTTGGAGGCGCTTCGCAAAACGAATTTCCCTGTGGGCTTGCTTCGCAAGACGAAAGCCCATAGGGAAATCTCCGGGACAGCGGGGAAGCGCAGCGCGTCTTCCCCACTGTCCTCGGACCTCCTCCCACCGCCCGGCTTCGGAACGAAGCTCCGATACCGGGCGGGGGGGGGGACGCCTTCTCCCACCGCCCGGCATCGGAACGAAGCTCCGATGCCGGGCGGGGGGGACGCCTTCTCCCGCCGCCCGGCATCGGAACGAAGCTCCGATGCCGGGCGGGGGGGAACGCCTTCTCCCGCCGCCCGGCATCGGAACGAAGCTCCAATGCCGGGCGGGGGGGGGGGCGCCTTCTCCCGCCGCCCGGCATCGGAACGAAGCTCCGATGCCGGGCGGGGGGGGACGCCTTCTCCCGCCGCCCGGCATCGGAAAGAAGCTCCGATGCCGGGCGGGGGGGGGGACGCCTTCTCCCGCCGCCCGGCATCAGAACGAAGCTCCGATGCCGGGCGGGGGGGAACGCCTTCTCCCGCCGCCCGGCATCGGAACGAAGCTCCAATGCCGGGCGGGGGGGGCGCCTTCTCCCGCCGCCCGGCATCGGAACGAAGCTCCGATGCCGGGCGGGGGGGGGACGCCTTCTCCCGCCGCCCGGCATCGGAAAGAAGCTCCTATGCCGGGCGGGGGGGGCGCCTTCTCCCGCCGCCCGGCATCGGAACGAAGCTCCGATGCCGGGCGGGGGGGGGACGCCTTCTCCCGCCGCCCGGCATCGGAAAGAAGCTCCGATGCCGGGCGGGGGGGGACGCCTTCTCCCGCCGCCCGGCATCAGAACGAAGCTCCGATGCCGGGCGGGGGGGAACGCCTTCTCCCGCCGCCCGGCATCGGAACGAAGCTCCAATGCCGGGCGGGGGGGGGCGCCTTCTCCCGCCGCCCGGCATCGGAACGAAGCTCCGATGCCGGGCGGGGGGGACGCCTTCTCCCGCCGCCCGGCATCGGAAAGAAGCTCCGATGCCGGGCGGGGGGGGGACGCCTTCTCCCGCCGCCCGGCATCAGAACGAAGCTCCGATGCCGGGCGGGGGGGGAACGCCTTCTCCCGCCGCCCGGCATCGGAACGAAGCTCCGATGCCGGGCGGGGGGGGGGGAACGCCTTCTCCCGCCGCCCGGCATCGGAACGAAGCTCCGATGCCGGGCGGGGGGGGGAACGCCTTCTCCCGCCGCCCGGTATCGGAACGAAGCTCCGATGCCGGGCGGGGGGGGGAACGCCTTCTCCCGCCGAAACCAACCCAGTCAGGTGGGAAAAACCCTTGGGA